TGGACCTGGAGTTACCAGCAGTTGTTAGCTGCCATGTGGGTGCTGGGATTCGAACCCTGGTCTTCTGCAAGAACAACCACTGTTCTTAACCACTGAGCTATCTCAGATATGCTGTTTCCTACATTTTTAATGCTACTAACGCTTACATGTTTGCACATGTGTCTTTAATCTATGTATCTGATTATTGCTAGTCACAGTCAGTTACACTCGCATCCTTAGTACCTGAGTATGGATATAAAGCCATCAGGTAGATTTCACTGGTAATGTTTATCATCTCTACTATTTAACATGAAGTAAATTTTCTTTAATTTTTAATAACTACAGGATTAGAAGAAGCATTTCATTGCAGCTTTAACATATTCAGTAACCCACTCCAGAGCAAGAGTACATCTCTTTCACAAGTGGGTGCAAGTTTCTAGGGTATGCAAGGAACCTAGGGGATAAGGAGAAAGAAGGAACTCAAGAGACATAGGACTGTAGGAGAAGGGTATTTTTAAGGGAAAATGGGGGAGGAATGGGGGCACCTTAAGTGGGGAAACTATGATGGAGGGGTGAGACAATGCTAGCGATGAATAATGCCTAGCAAGTTTCAAAAACCAGAGGGAACCATATTAGTCCAACAACCTACTGACAAATTATATACACAACTGGCTCAACAACTAATATGTCTAAGAAGTCATCGGGTGGATTTCAATGGTAATGTTTATCACCTCTACCAATTATCATGATATAAATTTCCATGCTTCCTCCTCAAATATAATACATTTTAAAAAAATTTGTTGATTTTTGTGTATGTGTGTGTATATCACACAGAACATCCCAAACCATCTTATTCGACTATACATCCACTTCCCAGATGGCACCCTCCCATAGCCTCCCTCCCCCAACTAGCACCCTTATATCCTGATATCCCTGCTAGTGTCTGCTGTACTGTCAGCTCCCCAGCCGATCGCCACTACTTGCCCTTCTGTTGAATCTAGTCAGCCTATCTAGAGATCTTTGTTTTAGGAGTGTCAGCTGTTCCTCTTTTAGCATCAGTCAGTTGTCAATACTCCTTTAGATAAGATTAAGGTCTGCTGTTCATTTCCCCAGTTCTATGCTGGGTTACTATCTGGGAGTCCCTTTGTTTACCATGGCCAACAACTCAAAAGAAGGTATCTCCTATCTGGAATTGTTGCTTGTTATATAGCCTTTAGCTGTGCATATGGACTCTTAAGAAATTATATTGGCCCCTTTAATCTTTGGTTATAGTTTCCTTTTGGATGTTTAAGGCCATACAGTTGGCCCAGATAAACCAATTTATTTTTACTCTTAAGGTTGTTTGAAAATCTGTTCGTCAGGGGTCACTTGGGCTAAGGAGGAGCCCCTGGCTCCTTTTACGAGTTCCACCTATGTGAAGATAAGTCAAAGGTCCTACTCGATCATGGCTGGCTTCACTTGGAAGCATGGAGGAAATGATTCCTCTGTGTTGACCCTCCTCTTTGTAGACTGGACACTGGTTCAAGTTCATCTGGTGGGGCCTCCTTGGCTTCCTTGATCAAGTTCATCTGGTGGGTCCTCGGCTTCCTTGACCTACCACCATTATAGGACATTTTGAGAGATGCTCATAGTCCCCTGGAACTAGTCGACCTAGGAGGGCAAGGAGCAAACAGTGTCCTTTATGTCCCTCTGACCAAATTATTATAGACCTCAAAGTATGTCTGTTAAACACCCAAGAAGGTTAGTTCCACCAGTCTGGTATTTTTAGTTATTGTGTGTCATGTAAATAAATCTTGGGCAAAGACCAGTTGTTCTCAGATAAACCTTACCTAGACATATATTAGACATATATGTCTTGATCTGCTATGAATAATTTGTCAGTAGGTTGTTGGAGTAATATGGTTCCCTCTGGTTTTTAAAACTAGCTAGACATTATTTATCTCACATTGTCTCACCACTCCATCATGGTTTTCCCAATGAAGGTGCCCCCATTTCCCCCCTTTCTCCCTTGATAATACACTTCTCCTACAGTTCTACCTCTCTTGAGCTCCTTCTTTCCCTTTATCCCCTAGGTTCCTTGTATACCCTTCCCTCCCCCCTCCATTAAACTAACCCAATTTTTATCCATATCTCCCTTACTAAGGCCTGTTTCCTACTGATCTTCTCTTTCAGGTTCTTTCCATTATCCTGATTCCTGTAGTTATGTCTGGATACATTCTCAATTATCAGGGTTTGATTCTAGTATCCACATATTAGGGAGAACATATGTCGATTTTTTTTCTGAGTCTGTGTTACTTCACTTAGTATAACAG